AAGAAGAAGGAGGTGGCAACTTAAGGGAAAGCTTGCTCAGCCTGGGCAAGCTGCTTAGCTTGCTTCTTGTTAGCCCCTCTGAGAAATATTCTGGCACCTTCCCTTGCAGACCTTCCTTCATGAAACACCCTTCCCTGCTCCCTGACCCTCCACCACACCCTGGAAGCAGGCTGGGGTCTCTTTGCTGAGAAATTCACCTTAGGATGTGATTCCCAACCAAGAAGTCAGGGCACTCTGGTATGTCCCTTTGGTGTTGAAATGTGCTGGGGAAGGGGCAGGACAGTGACAGAGGGAAAATGATGAGTGTGTGTATGTGGCAGGGGGATATCCAGGTGTTTTTAATACAATTAAACCCAACAAGGGCCAAGTTTCCTCCATGTCCAGCCTTGGGAGACACAGAATCAGTGGAAGCAATATATGGCTAGTCCTTAGTGGTATGGGCAGAAACACACGGAACTCTAATTCTTCACTTCCTAGATGGTGGAGTGGGGAACAATTATGAAAATCTCTCTTGCCGGGCGTGGTGGCTCATGCCTGTAATCCCAGCACTTTGGAAGGCTGAGGCGGGCAGATCATCTGAGGTCAGGAGTTCAAAACTAGCCTGGCCAACATGTCAAAACCCTGTCTCTACTAAAAATACAAAAAATTAGCCGAGCGTGGTGGTGGGCGCCTGTAATCTCAGCTACTCAGAAGGTTGAGGCAGGAGAATTGCTTGAACCTGGGAGGTGGAGGTTGCAGTGAGCCGAGATCGCACCTCTGCACTCCAGCCTGGGCAACAAGAGCAAAACTCGGTCTCAAAAAAAAAAAAAGAAAAGAAAATCTCTCTCCTCCACTTGAATGAAGCTCTGGGCCTCCAGAGAAATCCCAGAACCCTGGGGAAAGGTGGGATCCAGTCAGCCTGCAACTGCCGTGAGCACATGTGGTGTGTCAGTTTTCCTGTCATTTTAGTGCCCCACGTCTCCCCGTCATCTCTCCCACTCCCTAGGGGTGTGTGTGTCGGGGGGCGGTGAGGGAAGGGTTTCAAAATGAAATCCCCTCAGCTTGGGTGGCACGCTGGTCAGACACTTTGTATCTCCTGGAGTGGAGACGGGGGTTTGCACCGAGCCACCCATACTCGCTGACCTGGTCTTTTATGTGACATGCATTTGCCAAACAATCATCCAGGCTTCGAAGGTCAGTCTGTGGCCAGAGAATAGACAGAAAGGTGTATTTTCTTCCTTTTCTGCTGCACCAAATCTCCCCCTCGCTTCCCCTCCACCCTCCTTCAAGATCCAGCCCAGGCCCGCATCCCTCACAAAGCCTTCCCTCCCTCCTCCAGCGGCTGCAGACCTCCAGTCCCGACCGCTGGCCTCTGCTCCAACAGGCACAATTAGCACCTGACCAGCCTCTGGCCCGGCTGCTTGTCCTCGCCTCTGATTGTTTCAGTGTCTTAGTCATCTCTTCCCTAGCGCCTCCTTATCTCATCTCCTGCACGGTGCCTAGCATTGGTTGGGCACACAGTAGGTGTTAACAAATGTCTGTTGAATTGAAACTCAGCGGCCCCTATGAGGTCTAAACCCTCATAAGCACCCCGACCAGCAGTTTCTTGGCAACCAGCACTGGGGCCCAAGCTACAGGGCATTAGCAGCGAGACTGCTATTACAGAACTCACGAGGCTCAGCGGCCAGAGAGAGGTTTGCAGGCAGGTTGGTGTTGATGAGAAAAGCCCCTGATCCCTAGGAAAGCGCCTATGGGATTCTGGGTACCTTGCAAGAGTTTCCTTTCTCCCCTGCAGAAGTAGTTTTCAGTGTGAGAACCACAAAGAGAATAAATTGGAAGACAAGCCAGAAACCTCTTTGCAGCTTAGAAATCCAGGAGAGATGTGAAGCGCAGGTTGGGGTCAGGCCCTACACCCCTGAGGGAAGAAGGCTGCCCAGGGCCTTTCCCAGCTTGGTGGGGGATCCCAGGAGACGCAGTTGGCATGGCCGGCATGAGCCTTTCCACTGCAGGGGGCTATAGGGATGTTTGGGGGTGTTCCTAAGAAATGCCATCTTCCCCCAGAACCCAACAAATGACATCCTGCAAGATTGCCATCTGCAGCTCATGCAGAAACCAGTGCCCCGGCCAGACATGGTGGCTCACGCCTGTAATCCCGGCACTTTGGGAGGACATGGCGGGCAGATCACTTGAGGTCAGAAGTTCAAGATCAGCCTGGCCAACATGGTGAAACCCCCTCTCTATAAAATATATAAAAATTAGCCGGGGGAGGCCAGGCATCATGGCTTATGCCTGTAATCCCAGCACTTTGGGAAGCTGAAGTGGGTGGATCATGAGGTCAGGAGTTCAAGACCAGCCTGGCCAACATGGTGAAATCCCATCTCTACTAAAAATACAAAATTAGCTGGACGTGGTGGCGCACCCAGCTACTTGGGAGGCTGAGGCAAGAGAATCACTGGAACTTGGGAGGCAGAGTGAGCCCCAGATCACACCACTGCACTCCAGCCTGGATGACAGAGTGGGACTCCATAAAAAAAAAAAAAAAAAAAATTTAGCCAGGGGTGGTTACAGGCACCTGTAATCCCAGCTACTCAGAAGGCTAAGGGAGGGAGAATTGCTTGGGCCTGGGAGGTGGTGGTTGCAGTGAGCCAAGATCGCACCACTGCACTCCAGCCTGGGCAAGAGAGTGAGACTCCATCTCAAAAAAGAAAAAAGAAACCACTGTCCCTTTCCCTCTCATTCACCCAAATCCTAGGGCAAAACTCTGCGTGGGAGGAGGGGAGGTGCATCTAGACCAGAATCTGGCCAGGGTCTCAAGGCAAAGAGAAGCCTCCAAGTCTAGTGTGCTTGATCCCCCACACTGGCTCAGGGATTTGATCCTGGCTTCAAATTATGATTATTTATAAAGATGGCTTATCCCCTCTCCCTGGCTCCCTCCATTCTCCTGCTGTGACTCCAGCCCACACGAAAAGGTACACACAATCCCGGAAGGCAGGTGGTGTCTTCCTCACATCCGAGTTTTCCTCACTGCCACTCTGTTGGGGCCCGGTACTAGGACTGGCCCTAAGCGAGTGTTTGCTGAGTTGCATCTGAGTTTTGGGTGCTGCATTAAGCAATACCGTAAGGCCGGCTCGCACTTACTCACTTACTGTGTGCCACGTGCCGTTCTAATAAGCAGCTTATACGTATTCATTCATGGATTTGATCCTCACTGCAGTGTTATGAGGTAGGTCTCACGGACAGATGAGGAAACTGGGGCATACAATTGACTGGATCACATAGCTAGTAAATAACAACGCTGGGATTTTAGCCTAGACAGCCAGGCTTTAAAAACTGGAGGTAAGGGGTTCAGAATTACAGTGAGCTGTGACTGTGCCACTGCACTCCAACCTGGGTGACAAAGTGAGACCTTTAATTTAAAAAAAAAAAAACCAAAAAAACACCACTCAAAACACAAAAACAAAAACTGGAGGTAAGATGAGAAAATTGTGGGGACGGGGGATGTGGAGAGGATGAAGGCCAAGCTTAAGAGCAGAAGAGCAGAGGTTTCCCCAGGAAAGCAAACTCAACAGCCTGTGTCTGCCTGGGTCTCTGTGACAAAGGGCCTGATTTTTGCAGGATGAGGGGCATTTTGGACATGCTATCAATCAGGCCCCTACAGACAGACCACAGCACCCTCATTAGATCCCAATATATACCAGAGAAGACAGAAGCCACTGTCACCACTTAGCACGAGGTGAGGGAGGGTGGATTTGGGGCCCCTAGGTTGTCCAGGGGTGGGCGCCAGTTCCTGAGCAACCACCGAGCAAACAGTGCAGCAGAGGGAGGAGGAATGCCAGACATAGTTGCAAACAAGCCACTCCTTCGGCTCACAGCAAGAGCCTGGGTGAGGGTGGGAGCCTGAAGCCTGGGTGAGGGTGAGAGCCTGCTTCATGGTCCCCCGCCCCCAACAAGAAATCCCAAGCTCTGAACCCAGCCCCAGAAACAACCACATGCAAGGGAGCCTCCTCCCCACACGGGCTGGCTGGGATAGGAAGTTCTCCCTGATAATCTCCGCTGAACTCCAGAGAGCTCCTCCTACGCGGCTCCTGTGCTGGATGCACTGAATGTGAATTAATGGTTGAGAAAGCACTTTATAACCAGGAAAACCCAATGCCACTAACTGCAAGGAGGGATTGGCATTCTTGCTGGGCATACATGTTCCCCAGGCATTTTCAGTGCCAAAGTCTCCCGAAAGGGAAGAACTAGAAGTGTTCCCTTCACCTCTCTCCAACCTGGCACTCAGGCCAGGGGTCAGCTCGCAGGGGGTGAGTCCCCAATGGGCGTGCCCACCAGCTGTTGGGGCTGAGCAGTGGTGGTTCAGGCCCTGGGGTGGTGACCTCACTTCCGCTCCTACCTCCCCACCTCCCCAGCACTCCTCCCATCTGAGGCCCCACCAGGCCAAAATCGAGAAGTCCAAGGTTAACTGTTCCTTCCCACTTTAAGAGCTAATTAAAATAATTAGCCACAATGAACTGTCAAACATTAACCAGAAGAGGCTGCAGGACCAGACAGGCCTCGATCGCCGGCTGAGGGATGAGGGGCAGGAATCAAATGGCCATCAAATCCCTCAACTAGGGTACGGTGGGGGGGCCCAGGAGGACCTCGCTGAGCCGAGGTGCCAAGGGGTCAGGAGGCGACTCTGGTCAGGAAGGGGATGTCCAGGCAGACGGTGGTGAAAAAAGGGTGTCAGGGTTAGGGTGCGGTGGAGGAGCCAGGAATTCATAAACTGGCCACCGCCTCAGCATTCCCTCAAGCCTCCAAAACAAGGTGCTGGCGTCAGGGGACCCTGAGCGGTGCCGCGGCTGAGTCCCCTAGGCGGCCCAGGAGGTAACGGGGAGGCGGGAGAGCCGGGGAGAGCGGGAAGGCTGGCGGCTGGCTCACACGGAAACTCAGGCTCCTGCCAAGAGGTCTCTATTTTGGCGATCCAGTTCTCCAAGTCATAGGTCTGCGTGCGCGTGTGTGCGTGTGACCCTAAAGCCCCAGCCCCAGAAGCCCCGGGGGCAGTCGGATCAATGTAGCAGCTCCACCGCGGTCTGCCCCACCTCCTCTGCCCTCGGGCGTAAAGCTCCTGGGGGCTCGCTGTCACGATCGGCGGGTCACGGAACCCCGGCTGCCGGGCGGGGGCAAGAGGAAACGGGGGCCCCCACCCCGACTCCCCGACTCGGGGAATCCATTCCACTTCCATCCCGGGATCGGGAGCCCGGGTTCTCCATCACACGCGCGGCGGGGCGACGCCAGGGCGGCTCGCGACACGCCGCGACTCTTCCTCCCTTCCCTGGGCCCCCAGCCCCACGCCGGGGCCCCGGCGCTGTCGATCCCGCCCTCAGGCAAACTTTTCCAGGTCCCCGAAGGCTCGAAGAACCGGCGCCATCGACGTACCTGAGGCCGAGTGGCTCGCGGGCCCTGCTCGGTCGCCGGGCCGGGGTCGGTCTCCGTAGTCCCCTGCCCGCTCCGGGGGCCGAGACGCGGGTCCCCAGCCCCGCCAGCCCGTCCTCTCCCCTCGGAAGCCCGGCCCGGCGAGTGGCGCCGGGAACTCGGCGCCGGCGAAAGGAGAAGTGGAAGTTGAGCACGGCGCCCGGTCCGTCCCCGCGGCCGCCAGGGCCGCCGTCCCCCGCCCTCCTCCCCGCCCGCCCTTCCTCCCCGCCCGCTTGCCCTCGCCACCCCGCGCCCGTGACTCACCTCGGCGCCGGGGCAGGCTGGTCCGGGCGGGCAAGGCGCAGGGCTCTCCCACACGTCGCGCCGCCTACGGCAAGTTGGAGGTAGAGATGCAAATACCAGGTGAGACGGCGGCGCCCCCGATAAAACGGGGCGGGGGGCAGGGTGGAGCTCGCGGGGAGCAGGGCTGACGCCAGGGAGGGCCAGGCCAAGACCGGGGGCGGCGGGGGCGGCAGGGGCGCCCGTGGAGGGGGCGCGAGCCGGCGCAGACCAGCACCGAAACGAGCGAGCGAAAGGGGAAATTGCACTAGAGACACACACGTCCCCGCAGGCGGCGGCTGGGGCGGGCGCGAAGGAGGCAGGGCGGGAGGGGAGGGAAGAGCCGGAGGGAGGGACCGACGGGAGGGACCGCGGGCGGGCGGGGTGGGGGAGGGAGCGAGGGAGGGACGAGGCATCTCGGTGGAAACAGCGCCCCTCCGCCCCGGCCCGCCCGCCGCGGTCGCCAGCACGGCAGGGGAAGCCGTGCCAGGGGCCCGCTCAGCCTCTCCTTCCCCTCGCGGCTCGCTCTCGCCCGGGGGACCACGAGGCAGGGCGCCCGCAGAGCCCGCAGAGCCCGCGTCGCAAGCCGCGGCCCGGCCCGGCACCCCCCACACTGCTTCGAGCTGGCGGGCCCTGGAGCTCTCTGCTCGGTCGGGGCCCTTCCCGGCGCGAAACCCTCACACAACGCCCAGCGGAGAAATCCCTTCCCCGGGGACTTGGGAAGGTTTCGTCCAGCCCCCTCGGCCCGTGCAAGTGGAGACCTGCTTGACGCCTTTGGGCCAAGCCCTGCGCTTCGCATTATTGAGCTCTTGGAGTGTGCGGGCCCCAGCGGGAGGGCGGGCCGTGCGGTGGGGTGAGGCCACTAGATGCCCAGAGGATATGATTTTATACCTATATGCCCGACTCCGCAGAATCCCGGGCCGAACACCTGGGGTGACTGGAGAGTTTCAGCGACTTCTTAGGGAAGTCGAGTCCAGGACTCCTACGGGGAGTTGGGGTGGGGGGGCGCTGGGAGGATCTGAGTCGGGACAGGTTGGGGGACAGGAGCTGGAGCAGCAGGTGCAAAGACAGCCATAGTTCGAGTGCTGGGAGCAAGCCCATGCCTACCTTTCTTCCGCTGTCCAAACCCAGGCTACTCTGCTGCACGTGCCCACTGGAACACCACGCACGCTCCCCTTCTAGCTCCCCTTTGCCCTCTCAGACCTGCCTCAGTATCAACACCGCGCCCTACCTGATCCTGCGGCTTGGAGGCTCTGGAGAGAGTCCGCTGGGAATTGTCACTCCTTATAGCTCCACGTGGCCTTGTTGGGGTTGGGGGACAGCCAGGCCTCAGCCTTGACAGAAAGCAGCAAGGCTGAAGGGGCCCCAGGTGCTATGGGCTTGAGGGCTTGAGGTTGAAGGACCTGCTCAGCCTCCAGCATCGGCCTGCTTCTCCTGCCTTAGGAATGGATGATCCTAGGCGCAGGACCAGGGGGACAGGAGTGGTGGGGGATGATGGCCACAAAGGCAGCTGCAGATTACAAGTTCCCGGGGAAAGATCCTGTGGCTGGACTGAGGCGCAGGCCCCTGAGACCTCCTGGAGACTCAGAATCAAGTCCCCAAAACAAGCACTTCGTCTTTACAATCGGGCATGCTTTCCCCAGGGGATTCCAGGTCCTAGAGACACAGTTCTCTGCTGGCCTGTCATCCACGAGGGTCCCCTCTCAAATGTGGGGTAGGTCCCAAATGTCCCTAAGCCCTCTTTGACCTTGAAACTCACGAATGGACACACTCGTCCGCACATGCCCATACGAGCACACACACACACACACACACACACACACAGACACACACACACACACTTTCCCATTTTGCTAAGAGTTCAGTGGTCTCTAACCTCAGACAGACCTGGGTTCCTCTTCCCGCTCACTATTTACCAGCGACGTGACTTTAGGCAAGTCACTTAAACTCTCTGAGCCTCACTTCTCTTCTTAAGAAAACAACAACAACTAGGCCGGGCGTGGTGGCTCACGCCTGTAATCTCAGCACTTTGGGAGGCAGAGGTAGGTGGATCACTTGAGGTCAGGAGTTCAAGACCAGCCTGACCAACCTGGCAAATCCCTGTCTCTTCTGAAAATATAAAAATTAGCCCGCTGTGGTGGTGCATGGCTGTAGTCCCAGCTACTCAGGAGGCTGAGGCAGGAGAATTGCCTGAACCCAGGAGGCGGAGGTTGCGGTGAGCCGAGATCGTGCCATTGCACTCCAGCCTGGGTAACAAGAGCAAAACTCCGTCTCAAAAAAAAAAAAACTAAATTAAAGTTTTTATTTTTGTTTTTAATTTTTATGGGTACGTTTTAGGTGTGTGTATTTACGGGTGACATCAGATATTTTGATACACGCATGCAATGCATCATAATCACATCAGGGTAAATGGGGTATCTGTCACCTCAAGCGTTTCTCCTTTCTTTGTGTTATATACAATCCAGTTACACTCTTTGAGTTATTATTTATTTATTTATTTATTTTTGGAGATGGAGTTTTATTCTTGTTGCCCAGGCTGGAGTGCAATGGCACGATCTCGGCTTACCGAAACCTCCAGCTCCCGGGTTCAAGCGATTCTCCTGCCTCAGCCTCCCAAGTAGCTGGGATTACTGGCATGTGCCACCACACCCAGCTAATTTTCTGTATTTTTAGTAGAAACGAGGTTTCTCCGTGTTGGTCAGGCTGGTTTTGAACTCCTGACCTCAGGTGATCCACCGGCCTCGGCCTCCCCAAAGTGCTGGGATTACAGGCGTGAGCCACTTCGCCGGGTCTTTTTTGGTTATTTTTAAATGTACAATAAATTATTGTTGACTGCAGGCACCCTGTAATGCTATCAAGTACTAGATCTTACTCATTCTAACTAGATTTTTGTACCTATTAACCATCCCCAGTACCCTGCCCCCAGCCTTGCTTTTCTTATTTTTAAATTGGAGACAATATGAACCTACTTCACAAGGCTGTGGCAACGACTGAATGAGATAACGAATGTCTATGGCAGTGTCTGGTGCCAAGTAAGTCTTTAACAAATGCTAGCTGTCTTCGGCGTCGTGTTCATCTTGTTCATCTTCGTTTTCCTTTCTCAACCCAGCTCTCAGGAGAAAGTATGGCATGGCCAAGGCTGAAGTTGCTCAGCACTAGTGGTGGATTCCTCCCGTGAGTGAATGTGCTTGGAACTAAGGCTGAAGCCTCAAGGCAGCACGCAAGGAGAGGCTTTCCTTTGGGAAGGGCAGGAAGAGAGGTCAGCACTGCCAACCAGCTCATGGTGACTGGCCCTAATGCCTGCCAGCGCCCTGCAGCCCACGGCTCCTGGGAATCCCATAAGTTCCCACCTTCCCCAGCTGCTCAGAACTAACCACAGCCCCATGATCTGTGAGTTGCAGCCAAAGCAAGCCCCAACCCCCATGATGAAAAAGGCTGACCTTGCCTTGGGGAGCCGTGGGCCACATGAATGACCTTCCTGGCTGCCTTTCTCCTTCCCCACCCGGCTAGCCGCTCTTCTACCTACTCGCCGGGTGAGCCCCAGCCAGGTGGGGCCAACCAGGCTGAGATCACCACTCTCCCGATGACAGCCAAGCTGCTTCTGCCAATGGCTCATTCCCTGACTTGGCAGGAATTCCCCTTCTCGAGTTGCCCATGGATGCCCAGCCTGCACCATGAGCAGAGCACTCTGAGCCTCTCTGCTTCCAGCCCTGTTTCCCCCAGTCTCCAACCCTGACTGGGTGGTCGCAGGTCTCAAAACTTGGGTCCTGCAAAGAACGGAGGAGCCTCTGTGTTGCCCACAGCCCATGTGGTTCCACCTCCCTACCCGCACACTCAACTCGCCCTTTAACAGCTTTCAGAGCCCCTCTTTGTCTCCTTTTTCTTTTTTTTCCAGAGGCAAGATCTTGCCGTATTGCCCACGCTGGAGTGCAGTGGCACAATCATAGCTCACCGCAGCCTCCAACTCCTAGGCTCAAGCGATCCTCCCTTTCCTTGGCCTCCAGGGTAGCTGGGACTACAGACGCACACCACCATGCCTGGCTAATTTTTGTATTTTTTGTAGAAACAGGGTTTTGCCATGTTGCCCAAGCTGGTCTTGAACTCCTGGGCTCAAGCGATTCTCTTACCTCGGCCTCCCAAAGTGTTGGGATTATAAGCATGAGTCCCATGCCTAGCCTTCATCTCTCTTTTCAAGCAGTGCCTGGTAGCTCATGTTTTCCTGCAAGTCACTGGAGATTCTTTGGAGACAACTGACTGGTTTCTCCCTGCTTCCACTCACTTAACTCCCTGTCCTCAACAAATTATTATTATTATTATTATTATTATTTTGAGACTCCTGACCTTGTGATCTGCCCACCTCAGCCTCCCACAGTGCTGGGATTACAGGCATGAGCCACCACACCCGTCCTCCTCAACAAATTCTATTCAAACTTGTGGCCACAGCAAAATACCACGACGCCACAGCTTCTGTGGCCAGAGTCTGAACATGCCACCATAGACATATACTAGAAAAGTTGCTTACTGGCCAGGCAAGGTAGTTCATGCCTGTAATCCCAGCACTTTGGGAGGTTGAGGCGGGTGAATCACCTGAGGTCAGGAGCTTGAGACCAGCCTGACCAACATGGTGAAACCCCGTCTCTACTAAAAATACAAAAATTAGCTAGGCGTGGTGGCAAGAGCCTGTAATCTCAGCTACTCTGGAGGCTGAGGCTGAGGCTAAGGTAGGAGAATTGCTTGAACCCGGGAGGTGGAGGTTGCAGTGAGCTGAGATCATGTCACTGTGCTCCAGCCTGGGTGACAGGAGAAACTCCAGAAAGAAAGAAGAAAGAAGGAAGAAAAGAAAGAGAAGAAAGAGAAGAAAGAAAGAAAAGAAAGAAAAAAAGAAAGAAAGAAAGGGGGAAAGGAAGGAAGGAAGGAAAAGAAAGAAAGGAAGGAAGGAGGGAGAAAGAAAGAAGAGGGAGGGAGGGAAGGAAGGAAAGAAAGAAGAAAAGAGAGAAGGAAAGATGAAAGAGAGAAAGAGAGAGAAAGAAGGAGAGAGAGAAGGAAGGAAGGGAGGAAGGAGAAAAGTTGCCTATCAATCAGACTTTTGGAACGAGGAGTGTATTCAAAACCTGGGAGAGAGGTTATGGTGTAAAAGGAAGCCTCCCACCTATAAATCTGAGAAGCCCCCTATAATCCTTTCTATAAAGCCAGTACTCATTGTTCTTCTGTTGCATTCAATAACCCCAGGTTTGCATCTGTTGGGTTTACACGACAAGGCCATGGGTATCCAGTGGCACACAGAGATCTCCAAGTCAAGGTTGTGTCTGGTCAGCAAAGCAGTGTTTGTTCTAAAAAGCTTCTTGAATAACTGCAAAACAGAATTCCTTTAATCAAGCAGT